TGTCGAAGTGTCAGTGTTCAAAGGATTTTCCGGAAGAACCCTTCGCAGTGCTTTCGGGAAAAAGGAACAAGAGGGTTCGAAGTGAGCCTGCAAGATCTGAAAGTCTGGCTTTGCCGTTCTTGCAGCATGAATTGCAATGGCCAGCTTCTATGACACCTTGGGAATTCCGGTTGATGCCAACGTTTCGGAGATCCGAGCTGCTTACAAGCGCCGTGCATTGGAAGTCCATCCCGACAAAGGGGGCACCGCTGCTGCGTTTCAGCGCGTCCTGGCTGCATTCGAGCAGCTGGTGGACCCAGTCCGCAGAAAATCCTACGACCAACGGAGGGCGAAGTGCAGGCTAGGCCTTTGTCATGACCCGTGATAAGTTGAATAGGATACTTTTTGCAGACCGACACGTCCTTTTAAGATCAAGGGGTTGATGTAAGGTATTGAACAAAATTTTAAGTCTTAAGTGTGGCAGTTTCTCGTCAGGCCCAGGCCACAAGCCAGCAAACCAACGCGTGGAAGCTGTCCGTCCCGGAAGATGAAGCCAAAGCATGAGAGGCCCAAGCAGAGCTTTGGACACTTCAGCAAAAAACGTGAAAGGCTTTTGATGAAGCTTGTGATGCTCCTCAGGAGGCTGACGGGCTTCGATCGCCGCACCATTTTTACAGAGCGACTGTCTCAAAGCCAGAGGCTGGAGCTTGAAGCCTTTATGTCGAGTCTTCCGAAAGAGCAGCCAGTCCCAGAGCACACATGTGACTTGACCTCAGATGTGGAAGACGAGCCACTGGCGATTGATGATGAGGACGAAAGATGTGAAGGGGTAGATCTCAAAGACGTGAAGGCCAAAGTCCGGACCCCTCGAAAGAATGGGCAAGGCATCACAGCCAAAGCTCAGAGCTATGATGCTTATGTGTCTGTCGAGTGGGTACAAATGAAATGCAAAGAATTGAAGACGTTGGAAGAGGCCATTGACATGCACATCCTTCTCACAGAAGTTGTGGAGCGAGTCCGCAATGACGAAACGCCTGGCATCAAGGACAGACTGCTACAGGCCTTGGACATCACTTCCAAGGAGCATGGGTTTTGTGTTGACACGGCAAAGATTGTGTTGAAGATTCAGGTACCCTCTACACATTGGACTGGCAGGGGACTGATGACCCCAGTGTTTCAAGTAAGCGAAATTGATGTGTTCGCCCAATTTTGGCTCAAGTTGAGAGAAGCTCGTGGGCATTCCACAGGCAAAGTGAAGATCGGGGGCAAAGGCATGGCATTCCGAATGACACCCGCTGAGATGGATGAGATTTGGTCTCGAGTCCGAGAAGTTTATTTAGATATTCGTGCCCACCGAGGCCACAATCGCGACGAAGTTGCGCGCCACTTGGATTACGTGGTGGCACAGCGTGCTCCCTTCAGGGAGAGAATCTGGCGAGCTTGGAATCTAGCAATGATGCAGAGAGCCGAACGACAGCAACGAGCTTACGAGTCTGGCCAGCGAGCCCAAGAGCGTCAGAAGAGAAAGTTGGAGCAATATGAAAGGCGTCGGATGGCTTGCGAGGATCGCTGGGCAAGATCTGCGTTGCGTCTTCAGAACGAACTTGAAAAGACCCGAAAACGTGTAGAGGTGCTGCTATTGGAATGGAACAGAAGCCACAAGGGAACAAGGAGGGCAGCTACAGCTGCCAAGACTGGCCGACAACAGGTGCAAACGCATATGTGGTCAAAAAGAATGACTGCAGCTTTGTCAGCCAGTTGCGTAGTTTATTGCTTGGCTTTTAAGTAAGTACGTACCTCTTGTTTCTAGAGAACCTGGGAAGGCAAATAGGATCAAATAGGCATGCACTAGGGGCCAACAGACTCCATCACTCATGATCTGAAATGGTTTTGGTGGATGGCCAGAATAACTTTTCTTCCGTGGCCAAGGCATCTGAACTCAAGGAAACTCAGACCACCTTGAAGCAGGCGCAGGTGCCTGTCCAAAATCCTGGAGTTGGGAGGAATTGACCAAGTGGTGAGCGTTACGAACACAGACTCAGAACACACTTGGTGCATGGAGTATACAGTATTGCACTACACGAGTCACAAGAGGACATAGCTTCAACTCGATTCGCCCCTTTCGATTTTGTTTGTGCCCTTTGGGTGATGCGAAGGCTGAAGCCAGCAAGGCGCGTGAGGCGGCAAAGCAGAGCCGGGGTGACGTGCTGCAGCTGGAGCAGGTGAGAAAGTCAGCTATCGTGGCAAACCAAACAGCATGGCTTCTAGTAGCTTCTTGTTACTAGTAGTAATGGCCTCCAACCTAATAGCGATGGCCTCCACCTATTAGCGTGTTTGCTGTTGACGAACAAAAGCCGCACCACTCACAAATAACACTGCCATAATCTGCCATATCATAGAAGTCTTCATTGGTCGAAGTACCAAGATGCCTCAAGAGTATAGTATAGGACACCTTCCTCGGGTACGAAAGCGCGAAGCAGCTTTATCGGCCTCAGACAAGGTCTTTTGCTACAGGTTCATGTTGGGGAAGCAGCACACTTCCATGGAAAAGACCACACAGCAGAACACTACTAGGGGCTCCTGGCCTTACTACTAGGAGCAAGAAGCTACTAGGAGCAAAGGGCATCGCTACTAGGAACAAGGACGCTACTAGGGGCTCCTTTCAGAGGATTGGCACTGGCACCGAATGCAGGAGATCAATGAACAGGTCTCTCAGGAGCCGACACCAGTCCAACACAACCTTGGCTGACAACTAGACAGACAGTATGTGCCACATCTGGCTACTGCATCAAACAGTGCCAGAAGACTGGGAAACTAGTGCAACATTGTTGGAGATCGTTTGTTTCTCGCGCCAAGCGGTTGTCCAAGGGCATTTCAGACGTGGTTCCCACGCAACATGCCTCTGTCCTTGGCAGGAGCTCCGAAAGGTGGTGGATCGCCTGGAGAGTTGGACCGAAAAGAGACGTGCACTCTTACAGGAGAGAGCCCTTCCAGGTTGCTTGCAACATCGAATGAAACATGAAACATTTTGACCTTCGAGCTACCTTGAAGTGCTGCTCCAGTTAGTTTGCAGAGGGGTTGTCGCAGTCTGATGAGGACCGTGAAAAGAAGACCAAAGAGAAGGATGAGGCAGAACGACAGGCGGAACACTTATATATATATATATTATAGTTTCCATGACTTTGCAAGTGGTTTTACCTGGTGATTGATTCTCAAGTTCTGCGTTGCACAGGATTCATGCTTGGCTTTGTTCTTGCTCGGTGTATTGGCATTCCACCGCATTGCATACAAGGTAGCAATGCTGACGAGCAAGATTGAAAGTACCATGCCCCGCCCGCAACGCAATGCCTTGAACGAGGCTTGGGCTGGGGTATTTTTCTGCCACGGGTGTGAGATCTTTTCTGGCCATGGCAGCCAAATCAACAAGTTCTTATCATTCTGAGCTTGAAAAGGGGTGGTAATGTGAACGCGCAAAGCTGTAGGAGTGTTTTTGCATGTTTTCCTAGGCCGAAGACAGACTTGTGCGGATTGATTTGAAGAGCAATCTGCAATTGACGAAAGACAGCTACTGCAAAGTTTATAGGTTCATCAGAAATTTGATCGGCACATGGCTGCCAGGTCCGGTCCTGGGTCTAGAACCCAGATGATTCCACAAGTAAATCATCTTACTTCCTGTGACAAGAGATGCAGTGTAAGCGTGATTCATATTCATGTTTGGACCCGTTAGCATAGGCGCCATAGTTTTAAAAGCTGGCCTTGCAGTGGGTTCAAGGGGATGGGCACCTACTTTCAACCTCCAACCACAAAAGGTGAACCATGCCCCATATGGACCCTAAAGACCCTAATAGGAAAGCAATCAAGACTATAAAAGATGGCCTCCAACCTAATAGCGATGGCCTCCAACCTAAGAGCGATGGGCTCCAACCTGGGAGCGATGGGCTCCAACCTGGGAGCGATGGCCTCCAACCTTATAGCGATGGCCCCCAACCTAATAGCGATGGGCTCCAACCTAAGAGGGATGGCCTCCAACCTGAGAGCGATGGGCTCCAATCTAAGAGCGATGGCCTCCAACCTAAGAGCGATGGGCTCCAACCTAAGGGCGATGGGCTCCAACCTAAGAGCGTTGGCCTCCAATGTAAGAGCTATGGGCTCCAATCTAAGAGCGATGGCCTCCAACCTAAGAGCGATGGGCTCCAACCTAAGAGCGATGGCCTCCAACCTAAGAGCGATGGCCTCTAACCTAAGAGCGATGGCCTCCAACCTAAGAGCGATGGCCTCCAACCTAGTCGCGATGGCCTGCGACCTAAGAGCGATGGCCTCCAACCTAAGAGCGATGGCCTCCAACCTAAGAGCGATGGCCTCCAAGCTGAGAGCAATGGCCTCCAACCTAAGAGCGATGGCCTCCAACCTGAGAGCGATGGCCTCCAACTTAATAGCGATGGCCTCCAACCCAATAGCGATGACCTCCAACCTAATAGCGATGGCCTCCAACCTGATAGCGATGGCCTCCAACCCAAGAGCGATGGGCTCCAACCTAATTGGGATGGCCTCCAACCTTATAGCGATGGCCTCAAACCTACGAGCAATGGCCTCCAACCAAATAGCGATGGCCTCCAGCCTAAGAGCGATGGCCTCCAACCTAAGAGCGATGGCCTCCAACCTAA